AGAGAGAGAGAGAGAGAGAGAGAGAGAGAGAGAGAGAGAGACGATACCCATGTCGGCAGAGCGACTTTCCGTTTCTAGCAGCCTTGTGGCAATCGTAAACCGCCATTTGAGGGCGGTTGGGGGGCTATGTGGTTTTTGTGGTTAGGAGGGATCGTGCGGGGCGGGGTCAGAAATCAGGGTTTCCAAGGAATGCGAACATGGGTAATCCGACCGTTGTATCATTGACGAGGAGGCGAGGTCGTTTTTTTGTGACAGTATAGTGGATGTTCAAATGTTTTCACAACATCTGTTTTTTTTTGTGTGTGTGATTTGTGGTGGGTCGTTCAATACGTGTCGTCCGCGTCTTGCATTCTGAATGCGGAGTCGTCCACGCCAGTCTGCGTGTCACTTGATTGATGGAGTGTGTTACTAACCCCTTGGCAGAGCGAGTGACTCAACATGTGCGTACACTCAATCGATCGATCAATCAAGCAATTCAAGCAATCAATCAAAAAAAAAATTAAACAATTCATCATCTATTGCATCATTCAACCAATCAAAAAAACATTGGTTCAATTGATTGATTGACGTCGATTCACCAACTACCACTCAATCAATTCATTCAGTGCGTGCAGTAAATTAGTTGTTCGTTTGATTGATCGATCGATGGAGTGACTCATCGATCGATCGAGTGATTGATTGATTGATTCATTGATCGAGTACTCGATTCATTGATTGATGGATCGTTTGATTGATTGATTGATGGATCGAATGATTGATTGACTTATTGATTGAGTATTCGATGCAACGATTAGGGGATCGATTGATCTATTGATTGATTGATGACCGAGTGAGTAAGCACAAGCTTTTCATTTGTTGTTGTTCACTGTTTTTAGTTTCGTCTGCCATTGTCGCGCTGACGTGACGATGGTGCGTATTCCCAACTTCATTTTCAGGGGATGTTTGAGGAAGAAAAACGAGAAGATAACACTGGAAAAAATATACAAATTCATGTTGTTCACCGCCAGAAACACGGGCTTCACAACTGAGGATGACAACGAATGACTAGATTTCTTTTGAGCTCATTAGATATTGTGTTTGCATTCGCGATTACTGGACTTCTTGTTTGGATGCCACGTCTCTTCATTTTCCTTTCGCAAAGTCATGCACGTGAATCTACGTAGCAATACGAAATCAAACATATGTTGTTTGCGCACTACAAAACATGAAACTGACAATTCACGAAGCATTTAATTTCATAGGGGCGAAACCAGAAAAAAAAATGCATATAAATATAAAAATGCTCGCCCGGACATATGGGGGGAGAACGAAACGAATGCACACGCCATCCTTGCAAACGGCCCATGGTCCGAAAAAAGAACCGATAAGCCCCCAAATCACGGATAACAAACAAGGAACATCAGAAATTCGAACGAGCGGTCGGTGAACATAATCATGAAACTAATACTCAGAGTCTCAGACTAATATCATGTACGATGCAAACAGTCGAAACCAATGAATGGTCGACCCTCTAATTCACATAACCATATCTAAAACCATCGCCAGCATTGATTGCTCCCCGGTAAATGAGGAGGATTGACTGACGGCTATGAATCCCCCTCGGCAGCGACCATCCGCGGACAAGTCCGCGGCCGCGGCCTGTGGATGTGTCCTTGCGGCCGCGCGACTTTGTGGCCGCATGGCGACTATTGGGGAGGGTGGTTTGGGATTTGGGAAGCGCCTTGGGGCGGCGCAACCCCAGCCCCGCCCCCTAAAAAAAAAAAAAAAAAAAAAAAATTGGGGGGGAGAGAGAGAGAGAGAGAGAGAGAGAGAGAGAGAGAGAGAGAGAGACATGAGCGATCCAAGATGCTCCCCAGAATGGAAATGGAGCCAGGACCATAAGGACCTGTTTAAAAAAAAGAAAAAAATTGGGATTTGAAAATTGCCATAAAAAAAAAAAAAAAAAAAAAAAAAAACTAAAAAAAAAAAAAAAAAAAAAAAATTGGGGGGGCGGGGGGGGGTTGGGTGAGTGAAGGGATTTCAAAGAAAATTTTTTTTTGTTGATTGATTGATTGATTGATTGATTGGCCCCACAAGCGCACACACACACACACACATAGGTAGGATTGTATATTTTCATGTTCTAGCGGAAGATTCATTCCATTTTGTTTCTTTTTGTTTCCATTGATTGATTGATTGATTGATTGATTGATTGATTGATTGATTGATCGATTGATTGATTGATTGGTGGGGGCGGGGTCGCCCCCCCATCCCCAACAGCCCCCCCTCCCCCCACACACACGCAGTATTAACATAGGATTCATGAAAACCTAACAAAAAGAATTGTTAGGTTTGCACAAAAATTTTTAAAGATTCTGATAGTACATTTTTCAGTCCTCCAACGTGAACAAAATTTTATGCGAAATAAATGAACCGCAAAAAAAAAATCAAAAAATACTTTTTCAGAACCACTGGAAGTGGTGAGGAGAGAAGCAAGTTTTTTTACAAAAAATTGCTACCTTGCGAAGCACTATTTATTCAGGAACTGAAATATCCTAATTTTTTGTTTATCTAAAAAAATCATATTTATAGTTCTATAAGGTACGTAGCACGACGAACCTATTTGGTGGTTTTCCAAACACGCACAAATGTTCTCCTGTTTACGAATTCATTCGTTTGGATATGTTCTCTCATACATGGGCAAATATACTATTTTTTAGTATTTTTATTTAAATAGTTTTCCGGTTGACTAAAAATTTGAAGATGTCTCCCAAGCAAAAGTTGTTTGAATTCTTCTTTTACATAACATATATTTTTTGACAAGGGTTTTACAATTAACTTAAAAATGGAGTTATATTAATTTATAGATCTATAAACTAGTTTTCGCAGAGCCTTGTTTTTACTAAACTGCTGAAAACGACTTATAGTTGTATAAATGAGTATTCACCGAAACTGTTTTTTTGTAACATCTTTCGAGTCTGCCTTGCAGTCCTGAAACATTATTTTGTTTGAGCTATGCTTTTTGTCAATCTACTGAGAACAACTTATATTCTTATAACATGCTCTTTGCTGGAAAGAATTTTCTCGCACATCTTCAGAATCGCTAGACCTTTTGCCCCTTTTTTTGCCTCCTTTATTGGGAAACAGTAAAAAACGCTCTCTTTTATGTGTTAAAAATAATAGCTTGACTTTTACTTTTTCATTCTATAAAAAAATATTAGGTTTTGTGGTTTTGTTAGGTTTTCACGAATTCAGTGTTTATTATATATTTCCATGTTCTAGCGGGAGATTCATTCGATTTTTTGTTTTTTTTGTTTTTTTGATTAATTGATTGATTGATTGATTGATTGATTGATTGATTGATTGATCGAGTGGTGGGGGAGGGGTCGCCCCACCCCCCCGCCACCCACCACG